CAATACAATAATTTAACCCTTTTGTGTAACACATGGCCTATTTTCCTCTTTTTTTTTGTATTTTTGTTAAAATTCTGAGCTCAAGACAAGAGAAAATGAGATTTTTGGATTTTGAGATGAGGGCACGAAAAGGCTCAAGGGTCCTTTTTGGGAAGGGTTCACGGAAAAAAGAGTGGGAGAACTGATGTTGATCATTCACTTGTAGCAGGCCTGGCTAGAAAGACTACATATAACAAGTGTTCAAACTGTGGTTGAGAAGAAATGAATAAAAACCAGGAATTGAATAAAAACTAAGAGACAGAAAATTATGAGGTCTTGGAAGAAACATTCATAGCAGGACTTCTCAGTCTCTTTTAGTCAAGCAAGAAAAGTTAATCAAGGAAAATCAGAATTTCTGGCACAGATATTTAGAGGCGTTAATTCTAAATAATTAGCTTTTAGTGAATCAAATAATAAACTAGAAAAAGAAAGAAATCATTCTTTAGAGCTAGGGTTGTATGATAAATTGCCACAGGAGTTCTAATTAGACTTCAAGTGTGCATAAGATTCATCAAAAAACTAGGCAAGATTGACTATAATTCAGTCCAGTTTAGGATGACTCAAGAAATAAAAGAGAGAAACAATAAAGGGGAAAAGAATGTTTTTGGGAAGGAGTAGACCAAGGATTGAAAAACTCAACATTTTTATTGAAAATTTATCTAATTTTTAAAACTTTACAATGCTTTACAGCCAGATACAGGCTGTATCAATGAAATGAAGCCTGTTTCAGCTGTTATCAAGGGCCTTTTTGAGCCCTCAACGTTATAGTTATTGAAAAAAGCAAGATTTCATTAAACATGACATCAAAAAATAATGGAAAATTTTTAATTTGATACTTTACCAATAACTGCTAAGGTATTGGCCCACAATTGATTTTATGTTTTGATTCCTGGTGATCACATTAGCCCATTTTACGACAAACCACTTTCAGCCACTTGTAATGAAAGTCTGAGCTCCCTCTTTTAAATTTTCTTATTTACAACCAGTAGTACAGTATCCTCCCAGATGTTTATGCCTGGGGGTGAACTGTCACAAGTTGACTTGCACCCGCGCACTAAACTGCAGTGTGCGCGTGCAAGTTGATCTCTTCATCGCGGGCCAACAACCAATCATAGAAGAACCTTGATCATCAACAATTGATCTTGGAACAACTTTAATTGACCTGGAACAAACTTGGTTGACCTTGGCCTCAGGAAGAATTTGATTGGAATCAGACATTAGTCTGTATTTCTACTGGTTTTTTGTTTTTTTTCTTCTTCTGATTTTTGCTTTGTTTCGGAACAGGATTGTTTTGATGGGACATATCCAAGGACAGCCCAACCTCACGACCAAGCAGAAGGCTCGCATTGCCGGCATGGTTGAAGCCAGGATGTCTCATGGGCGAGTTGCAAGGATAGTGGGCTCGGGACAAACAAAAGTCTCTTCAACCGTTTCATGGGCTCGGACTCATGGGACCGTCAAAACCACTGTGAATAGCGGCCAGCCTTTATGGAATAGCAAGCAAGACTTGATGCAGCTGCAACGGTCCCTTGCAAGCCACCCCAAGTCAACCCTAGCAGAGGTGACCAATACCATGGCCACTCTGGTTTCAAGCTCAACCGTCCAACAAAGAGCTCACAATATTGGCAACGGTGGGCCAGCTACGCTAACCGTAGCGTTAGCGTAGCGTAGTGTAGCAATTTTTCGCTACAATTTAGCGTAGTGTTAGCGCTTGTTTCTTTTTTTGCGCTAACACTACGCACATGGGGCGAAAACGTGCGCTAACGTTTAGCGTAGCGTTAGCGCGATTCCCCCCATCTGCGCTAACGCTACACGCACAGGCCGCCAAAAACTGCCCGCTACGCTGCGTTACAGCCGTTTTTAGCGGTTTTTTGCCGTTTTTTGCCGCTAAAAACGCTGTAGCGTAGCGTAACGCAGCGTAGCGGCGCCAGCGGCGCGCTAACACTACACCAAAAAAAGGTTAGTGTTAGCGCCGCTACAAATTAGCGTAGCGGCGCGCTAACACTACACGAAAAAAAAAAAATTGGCGCCGCTACGCTAACGCTACATGGGCCCGTAGCGTAGTGTAGCGTAGCGGCCCACCACTGATATTGGATACAACAGCTGTATCACCGTCAAGAAGCCATTTATCAACAATAAAAACAAAGAAAAACAACTGCTTTTTGATTGTGCGCACCTCAATTTCACAATATCAGACTGGTCCAAGGTGATCTGGTTGGACGAATCATCCTTCAAAACTGGGAAGAGGTCACAGCAGGTGAAGGTTTGGCGACAGACTGGCAAGCAAATGAAGCCTGAATGTCTTGAACCAACTTTCAAGAGTGGAAGGTCATCAACTACAATCTGGGGGGCCTTCTTTGGAACAACAAAGATATGCATTGTTTTCCTTCAAAAGGGTGGCACAAAAGCAATTGATTACATCAATCAGGTCTACAAGGGACGTCTTGTAGAAACACTTGCTGCCGTCAATCCAGACCATCAGCTCTTGTTGATGGAAGACAACGCCTGATCACACACGGCCAAGCTCAGCAAATCCTTTTGACAAGACAACCACATAAACACAGTTGAATGGCTGCCCCAGTCACCCGATCTGAACCCAATCAAAAACTTGTGGAAAATTATGAAGACTGCAATTGTCAAGCACTACCAACCCAACTCCCTCAACAAAATGAAGGAGGCCATCCAACAAGGTTGGGAAAACATCCCAGTGGATCACCTCAAAAGCCTTGTCAAGTCGAGAGCATCAGAGCCTCCCCAAGGCAAGGTGGAAAGTGCAGAAAGTGCAGACACCACAGAAAAATACAGCTTATACGCCAGAAGGTTTCTAGTGAGCACACCTGTTTCAAATTCCAAAAGCGGAAAGGTAGGGAAAGGTCTCTCCAAAGCGCAAAGGTCTTTCCAATGCATCAAGGGGAAAAAAATGGATTCAAAAAAGAAGAACAACTTTCTCTTCTGTCAATCAAGTTTTTTGGATGCTGGATCATCACCGATCCTTTCAGGTTTTGGAATTCTTACATTTCAATTGGAGGATGTTAGAACTTTTATGCAATTCAAATGTATTACAAGCAATCAATTTACCCAAAGAATTGATTGATAGAAGACTTCACTCGATGGCGGATTGTCAGGTTTAGCCATCTCATTATCAAGTCAATCACAACGAGGAGGTTGATGAGTTGTTCCTATCGTGCCCCTTGATCCTTACCAACCTCCGGAGCCGCTGCACCTCATGATTTCTCGTCCAACCCGCAGGATGGCACGGCATTGAATGTGAACTGCTATCTGATATTGGCCATTCATCCCGACCTCGGTCCACTCCAACAGACCAGAACAGATTAGACCAACCAAAGGTTCACAAGCTCCACTCAGCCCCCTTTGCCTCGATCACAGTCCCTCCCTCAAGGTGGACAACAGCGGGGCGGGCACCATGCCCCCAATCGGCTGAGCTCCTTCCTCCAACATCAGCCAGCCTGCCTGCATCATGGGCCTCCAGAATCAAAATGAATGTTGTTAAAAACATTTCTGAAGGCTCAAAAGGAACTCTTATACAACAAGACAAAGATAAGTAGCTTTGTCACTTTTCCTTATTATTCTAAACTCTTTGGCTATGATATTGCCTGGAGTGTCTCAAACATGTCCGCAACCAGGCGAGCGATCAGACGTGTCGGACACCAGCCCCGCGTGTCCGAGGCAAGCCCTGCATTTGGCTGTACAGCTACAGCTCTGTACTACACTTGGCTGTACAGCTCTGGTACAGCTCCGTACTAATCCGCACTTTCCACACCCGCATGGAAAGATTCCGCACTTGGGCAGGCTCCGATTCTTTGGTCAAGTCAGTGCCCAACAGAATGCGCCTGGTTGTGGAGGCCTCTGGTGGGCCAATCAAATATTGATTTTTTGGTTTTTATTTTTTTATTTCATAATCATTATCTCCCACCTCTCAGCTACCCTCCCCACTTGATTTTGTATTTTTAAAAAAAATATTAAAGAAAATAAAAAAGTTGAATGATGCTTTTATTTTTTTAAAATGTAATGCATTTTGCATTTTGTTTTTTTTGTTTCATATTCCTTTTTATCATCCCCCTGTCCACCACTCCCCAAACACTCAGAATTTCATGTGTGATAGTTTTTTTTTTAAATAAAGTAATTGATGTGTCATAAACAACTGGGAGGATACTGTACAACAAAATTGATGGAATATAACCAATTAATCAATCATTAAATAGGAGAGGGCAGGAGAGATAGAAAAGCTAAATTGACAAAAAGAGGAAAAAGGGTTAACTTTTATGAGCTTAGAAAAACGGCTCCCTTTTTTTTAGCCAACAACTCCCACAGCTCCTTGGCAACATCCATTAGGAGCTGTTTTCTAAAATATGGGCAGATTTTGGGAGTTGCCTGGCCCATTCCAGTTTCATCTTTTTTATTTATTTTTTTCCAATTTTTGGGAGCTGGCTTCCCAAAACACCCCTCAAACATGGGGGGGGGGGGAGGTTGCTCTGACTGACCAGAAGGAATCCCTTCTGGTACATGAGGTACAGCTACCTCATCTACTGGAATGAATTCCTTCCAGCCAATGAGGTAGCTGTCATTAAACAGAAGGGATTTCTTCTGGCCAATGAGTTGTGAAGAACTCATCAACCACGATGAGGTGTCTGCACCTCAAATCTTTATTATGCTAAATACAACTTGACAGTTGAAACTAGCATAGAAAAGAAAGAAATAGGGTGACTTCATTTTTTAGAAATGGATAGTTAATTATGGGACAGTGGGCTTCAAATTACAGGTTTTCAAGCAGAACCTCACAATCAGGGAGGGATAAGTAGGACCCCACAATCAGGGAGAAAAGTAGCACAAAAGGGTTCTGATGTTATCAATTACAATAGGGGTTACATTGGGCAATTAGGGATAGTAGATGTTTTTTATGCTACCAAAAACAGTGCACTTAGCTTGCGCATCTGGAAAGCAGAATTTGCTGCAGCTACATGCAACACCCTGTTTCTCAAGAGCCAAAAATTTTCATTTTTTTAACACCCTGGATTCATTGATAATTGTGTGAACCACTAGCTTAAGTATGCGCAACAAACTACAAGCCCACTCGTAAAGCCCCACCAGACTAAATTTTTCTTAATTATGCTTGAATATGCCTGTGAAATTGTTATTGAGTAAATGTTGATCTCTTGGCTGTATGTATATCAATATGCTCTCCTTAGGATGTAACTTGTAAAAATTGAATTAAACAACTATTCCCCTACATCCCTTTTTGCTTTTAACAATCAATTTCTAGAACTTTCTTCATGTTTGGTCTAAAATTTATTCATTGAAAGTGAGAAAAATATTGGTCAAAAGGATATTTTTCTATAATCAGGAGAGACTTATATGTCCTACTTATCAATGATGCTGTACAACAACATAGTGTGCTCTCCTTCAAGTTACACAAATAGGTGGTATTCACAGTCACACATACCACTCCAACTCCATCATAGCTTTTTGCAAATGTGTTGGAGGGTGCATCTGTTTATTTCCATCTATGGGTTTTCCATAAGAGAATCTCCAATGGTCCTTCTGTTGCCGGACCTGAGGCCAAATTCAGAAGGCCTCTGGCAGAGCTGCTAAAACTTGTAGGGGTGGATCAAAGCTGAACTTGGCTACTGAGTTGCACAGATTTGCAAGTGTTTTACCCACACCCTCTCAACAGCTATTCTTTTGCTAAGACTATCAGTGCTACACTTTTACCTGTCCTATCTTCTCTTCCTTTTCCTCACCAAAATACATAGCCTTGCCCACTTTTCAAAGTAATATTGTTGGGCTTGGCTGCTCTCTTAGTTTCAGTTTTTGGTTTCCCTCAACCTCTCCAAAGTTCCTGATTCTGCATAACCAAAAATGGGTAGTTATGCTCAAGATATCAGTCACATGTATAAAAGTATGGTACCTTGTTTTCACCTTTTGCCATTACCAATATCTGTAACAGATGAGCAGTTACAAATATCTTTTTTTTGTTTCAATACCTCTAAGGATACAGGTGCAATGTTGTACTGGGATGAAGGGCTATGAAGGGGTTTTTGGACGTTTTGGGCCAGGATAACACAGTTATTGGTTTATTGGTGTTACTAAAATCAGAATAAGGTTGAGGAAAAGAACCTTTTACAATTAAAGGAAGGTCTGATAAAAAATTCTTACAATCAAAAATAACATGAGGAATATTACCAGTGGGGAGTTATGATACTCAGATGAACTAGAGACTCAGATGAACTAGGGTTCTGTTTGTCAGTGTTGTGCACAAGTGTAATATGTGTGAAATATGCTCAAATTCTGTCAAATTTTGCAGAGATCTCACACATCAAACTGCTACATTGCAATAAAAAACAGGGCCTAGATATTTTATTATTTTTAACTACCCCCTGTAGGCACAACCTGGAACTAAACTTGGTGGCCCACAAGGCATATTTGGCCTCCAGCTGAGTGACTTCAGGAGCTGTCAAAAGTTGCAGATGTGGATAAAGTTGATCAAATTCAAAGCCACCCTTGGCTTCTCCTTTTGAAAGTTTTTCATCCACCCCCACCCAAATTGATGGCCCAGCATTTGGGCAACTATGACACGTCTGAATGATCTCAATGGGGCACTTGATTAAGATCACACTGATTAATGTATGGATTGATTGCTCTGTTCTGTCTGGTTGATGATCAGATGAGATGATGATCTGTTGTCATGAGATGATGAGATATTGGAATGAGGGGGGAAAGCCCCTCCTTAAATAGTCTATTTTACAACCTGGCTGACTTGTGGTTCTAGCCCTAACCAATAATCTATAAATTGCCAACTTGTGGTTCTAGCCCTAACCTATAATCTATAAATGGCCAACTTGTGGTTCTAGCCCTATACAAGATTCTCAGTGTACCTACAAACAATGTGGCTAACTTGTGGTTACCCTATGCAATGAATATTGAATATGTAAACAAACTAAGGCCAACTTGTGGTTTACATTAACTTTGAGAATTTTTTATGCAAATAAAATTTAAATCCCAAATAACTTGACTGAGTGAGCTAGCCTAGTGGTTCCCATGAGTGACTATGGGTTAAATGACCCGTAGAATGTGATTATGCCATAATACGCCTAAGAATATATGCCCTTCTACATATTGAACTGTGACTTTATGCAATTCTAAAAAGCACTGTAATGCAGCATAGCGGGTGCTTTTTTGTGCCCCATTGTGAATCTTGCCAGCTTTTGAGGTGCAGAAAAGATACAAGAGAACGTTGTTGAGGTTGTATTGCAGCATAATAGGCTTGTATTTATAGACAAGAGAGTGAGTAGAGATATTGGGGTAGGAAGTGAGGTACATGAGAGGAATATGAGCAGTCCCATTAGATGGGACGACTAGTGTTTAAGGATACAATCCGGACCCGGGATACCCGGTAATACCTGACCAGATACCGGGTTGGGTTGGGTGTCGGATGTAGTGTGTGCATACCCGGTATCCGGGCGAGCACAAGCTATCAGGGATGGGGAGCTCGTACTCCCAACTCTCAGGCCAGACAAGCAGCTTCTAAAACTTTTTATTGCATATTTTATTTTGTCTACTTGTACAATGTGATTGAGGAGACACGGTAACTCCAAGGTGTTGAGTTACATTGGATTACCGGTCTATGTTTGAATGTGCCAGCCAACCAAGAATGCTCGCTCACAAGGTGCACTCAAGGCTGGTGCCGCTAGACATGTTCTGGACATATTGGAGAGGGTCAGAAAACATTCCGTGTTTGCTTTCCCGAACGGAAGAGGTTTGTATCACAATTGTGTTCCACAAATCCAGGCTTTGAAAAAAAAAATGCAACATCCGGCGGATACCCAGTGTTGGGGCTGGATATACTGGGTACGGATGCCGGATGAGCTCTACCCGGACCCGGGGCACCGGATTGTATCCTTACTAGTGTTACAAGGTAATAAGGGAAAGGACCGGACTTGGCTAAGTTTGGTCCGTATTTAGTATTTCTAATATACAAGATAATAAGGTTAGAGAGATAAGAAGCGAGATGAAAGTGAGATAGCCAAGAGCGGCTGACAGCATTTAGGAATAAGGAAACAGGGAAGAAGGAGAGTGACCAAGAGTGGTCCATAAGTCCTTCAGCAGCTGGAGAAGGCTCTGCCGGAGCCGTTACCTTATCCGGAAGTCGGGGCTTCACACCATGCACGTAGTGTTAGCGCAGATTCATGGAATCATGCTAATGCTACGCTAAAAGCTAACAAGCTTTGGCGCCCTGCACACGTAGTGTTAGTGCAGATTTGCAGAATTGTGCTAACACTACACTAAATGTTAGTTTAATTGAGCTACACTACCACTACAGTTAGTGTAGCTGGCCCACCGTTGGAGCTAGGCATGGTGGCTCTGGCAAAGAGCTTTCTCTATCTTTATCCTTCAAATTGGGGACAAAGGAATGGGCCTAAACCTCTGAAATTAGATCCGAAGAAGCTCAAGATGCAGCAGTTTTCCTTTCCAAAAACAGCTTCATCATAGCACATTGTGGGCAGGAGTCAAGCAGTGATAAGATAAAAGAAAAGTGAAAATCAACAGAATACAATACACCT